AGCAGGTAGAACGGTCCCTTGCTCATTTGAAGATACATGCCGTACAGCGCGACAGCGAAAAAGTGGAGAATCAGAGATGAAGGACTATGCAGCATTCCAGAAAGGAGGCCAATCGGCGTTGACACGCAGATTCCTCCAAGCTCAAAGTAACCAAAACATCCGTCTTGTAGGACTTTGGTGTTCAGGTCTATTGTCGTAAGTATATCAGTCGCACTCCAGTAGCTAAAACAATAATTAACAGAAACTCACCGTCTCCGGCGGCAAAGAGAGCATACAACGCATTCGCAAGAATGTTCACAGCTGATGAAAGCTGCTTTCTTTGCCAATGCAGTTTCTTGACTTGTTCCATCACCATTGCATGATCCGCAAGATCCGGAACATTTTCGCGTGAAAGCAACTGCTTCAGCCGCACGACATCCCAGAACCCAACCGTCATACCACCTCCAGTCAGAGGATGCCTCATATTGTTCGCGTCTCCCAGAAGCACCATCCCTGGACGATCGTTTGTTGCGGCGGGGAGAAACGAGTTGGGCATTGATCGGAATTTGTTATTATCAACAGCAGCTTTGAACGAAGGCTGAATGGATTCGGGGAGTTGTGGGTACACTGTGTTGAGCATGTATTCTTGCATTGCGCCGTTGGTGAGGCTTGGGATTTTCGTTCCTGGAATGTCGATGAGTGCTCGTGTTTCGTGCGTTCCGATTTGGTAAAAGAGAATGGGAGAAGGTTGCGCAAGAATGACGTGGCCGTGGTTTGGGGATGGCAGCTTGCAATCATCGAGAATGAGACTGGGCAATGATGGGGCAGGTGAGATAAACTGATGAAGGGGAGCGACAAATGAAGGAAGAAGAGAGGGAACAAGCATACCCAACAAACGTCGATTTGACCGAGACGGGCTTTTTGTTGACCTCTTTTCGAAATTTAGAAAAGCAGCCGTCAGCCACGATTGTCAATGGCGCATATGCCTGAATTGAAGAGATGCTAGTGAGTTAATAAGCGCGAATATTGAAATGAAGCAGAATTCGCACGCACAAGCTTAGCCTTTTCGGTCTTGGTTGAGTACGACACACCAACAACTGTGTTGTCGTCCTCGGAGTCCGTCAACAGTGAACCAACGGTTCCCTCCATCGTCGTCACACTGCATAAGTGATGAGTAATCAAGATCCATCTCGCAGTCAACACGCTCTTACTTGTCGCAAGATTCGGCATGCGTTCTGAGACTCATGATGAACTTTCCATGATGGAAGGCGCAGCCAGGCTTCGCATCTTCGTACGAATACGGAAGGTTGATGGACTTGTCCCCTTGAATGACTCGGTATCCGTTGCAGGTGATGGCATCAATGCCCTTGACACAGTCTGCGTTGATTTGGGGTGTCAACTTCTTCCAATGCTAATGCTGTGTTGCGTGCGATAACAAGTACCTTGCATTCCAAGCTGCTCCAGGGCCTTGATCCCGCCTGGCTGAAGAAGTTCGCCGACAATTCGATCAGGCTCTTTCCAATCACGCTCTGAGAAGTTGGTACACAGCAAGGTATTCGCGTAATGGCATCGTAAGAATCGAGACGCATTGACGGAGCTTTGAAAGCATCAACGAACCAATCAACAGGACCTTGCGCCCGTCGTTTGCGAAAGCTGTCGCAGCTGCACAACCAACGATCCCAGCGCCGACAACAATGACCTAATCGGGGACGAGGTGTATGTATCATCAGTGAGGCTATAGACGCAGTAGGTAGGGGGGATGTGTCGCACGTCAAACTCGACTGTGGGTAAGGATGGCATTTTGTGTTTGATGAGTTTTTTTTTTGAATCGAGTTTGACTTGTTGAATCAGGCCATTGCTTCTTTTTTCTGAAATAAAGGCATGACGCATCATGTCTCATACTCCATCCATCACTTCCCTTCACCCCGTCCCATACTACGTCTGATACAGCGAACCTGCCAAGTTGCTTCAATGCGACAGATGCACCCATGGCAGGTGAGAGTGTCTTCAGAAGATGTTGGGTGGGACCTACAGAATAGCGCAGAAAAGGAGGGCAACTTGCAACTGATCATCTACTGTAGATGAAATTGAAGTTGTTTTTCAGCTTTCCCGTCTCTTTTGGTCCTGGATATTCGTTTGAGGTTTTAGCCGATTCGATTGTTGAAAATTGAACAAAGAACACAAACCTTTGGAATCTGAACCATGGCTCTGGTCTATGCTGAACACGCCGCAGCCATTAAAAACGAAATGATATCCCCATTGGCAACGAATCTAGTTACTTTTGGTTCCAGTCTTTCTGGATGTGCAGAAGAGTTTCCAAGTTCTACCCGCATTGGTACAGGAGCCCAAATGGCAGCATAAACACGCCTCAAAAAGGCCACCAGACGTGCAAAAATAATGAATGTTTCTGACTGCTCGACTTCACCCATTCTTTTTGAGCCTTCCAAGATGTTTTTCGCCTTTATTTTATGCATATGCTGTGGTTCACCTGTGAGAAAGCACGTGTTGTTCGGCAAGCATCTAGTCCATCCAATTATAATCTAGCCAGTCAAATCAATGCGCCAATCCTTCTTCAATGCGGACTAGAGTGAAAGAATAGATATAAATCCAACCATGAAAGAAACAAACAAGAGCGAGAATATCACCTTCCTTTCTCCTTTCCTTTTCATGGTTTCGACGTCAGGCTTGATCTCACTCATCAACCGTGCACAGATGTCTTCCTTCATAACTCACGCTGCAGTTATTCGCGAGTCAATTGAATCTCGCACTACTTCCAGGTCAAAAGAGGATGCCGTCATCATCCCCGTTGGGAGTGGGTGACGTCTTTTATGATGGTTGTTGTTCAATTCGACAATGAATCAGGTGGGCATGGGGCCGGTTGCGTTTTCGTTATTCTGACCGTGTTGCACGGTATTGATTTCTGAAGAAAATATAGGGGAGACAAAAAAAAAAAAAAAAAAAGAAAAAAATACAGATAAAAGAGACATCCGCGTGTTAGATACGCGTCAATGTCGAACTTAAACTGCGCTTCGTTTGTATGCACCAGTGTGTATGCTCAGGCAGTCGATGAGTTTTGCAACGTCCTTGCTGTTAACGTTGAAGACTGGGACCACAAAGAAAGCTCATTCGATAACAGCCCCGATTCCATTGAATGCTGCCTAACGCGTGACGGTGTGATGTTTTCTGCTGTCTTTTTGTGTGCATGCGTCCAACTCCGCGGTGTTTAAAACCAAAGCTGCGTCAGAAGAGCATCGAGCAAGTCAACATCAAACACGGCGGGAATGAACAGAGTACCGCCGGCAAGAGGAATGGAAGGGAGTGACGGAACTCACAAGCACGAAAGGGTGTTGCATGAGTCGTTTTTCTTCACTTTTTCCTTCATTTATATTTATCACCGCTTCGATCTTCAGTGTGAACACAGACCATCAACCGCGGCCCATCGATGCTAAATTTGCTGCATGTTTCAGTTCGGACATGCCAGAAAGGGTATGAATTCTCCCATTCTCCCATTGTTGAAGTTGGGAATTGCAAAGATTTCATCCCGGCAATCCCTCAAAAGATGCCTGAAAAACTCACACAGAGACACGCTCAAGCTGCGCAGCATAACGACTATTGCCCAGGACTGGTTCTCTCGCTTCAGCAGCTGCCAGCAACGGAGACTACTCACGGGAACTATCTCGGCTGTTTGTTCAAAGGGAAACGGAGACATATACTGCGCCACCCTGATACATACCGCGTTCATCTCAGCAAATCATGCGTCAGCGCTGCCATGCAACTCGATTGCACACTACAATCGCCTATCTGGATCGTTTCAATCTATCTTGGACTCGTCTGACAGCTGAAACGCGTTTCAAAGCGACTGGGATTTACAGGGGATCACAAATTTTAATCCGTCCCCGCATCCGCAGAATCGCATACAGATCGAAATCACAGCACATCTACGCCGACTTCGTTTCTGGCTATCAATATTGGTTCCATGAACGGACCTCCTGAGGGACACCAGCCCTGGCATTAGTTGGTTCATTCGAGTGGCTGCAACTGTGCCGCACTGCAGCATCCAACGCTTGTTTGATATGGAAATCTGGCGCTCTCTGGATGTGAGAGCTTGCGTGATCTATTGCGACTGGTGGAATACTCCAATCATTGGCTTTTGCTCACAACATGAATGAGCCGTCTTCCCTTCACTAGTAAAAACACGCCGAAGCCATAGCTGCGCAATTTCACTTTGCTTGGATGCCTGTCCAGCTGTCCACAAAAAAATTCCAGCCGAAACAATGAAACGAACTCGTTGATGCAGGTTGACAGAAGTCACGAATTGCGGCAGGTAAAGCTTCTGATGTCTTATAATTTAACCTCTCTCTCTCTCTCTCTCTCTCTCTCTCTCTCTCTCTCTCTCTCTCTCTCTCTCTATTTCCCTTTCATCTCTTTTCTCTCTTTTTTCTCTCCTCTCTCTTTCTTCTCTGTTTGCTGACAGGTGCAATTTGTTTCTTCAGTTCCGCGAATTCAGGCCAACTCCATCTTCGACGGCCATGTCGGCAATCGCCGCCAGCTCGCGTGCGCGCATGCGAATGGTGATGATTCAGGGTCACATGACTGGGATTGCACCCGTCTGTCTGGGCACAACAGCATACCAACAGTATTCTACATCGCCTGCCAAGCTTATTAGACTGTCTCACTCATACATTGGACAGTACTGCATTCTAAAGCTAAGACTACCCAAGGCTCACCTTGCCCTATCTACAGTATTCCTACCCATCCAATCATACAAACCAGCCCCAGATCAATATCGCATACCCTGTAGACTAGATACTCGATAATCAATCCAGAGACCAAGGCAGGGACAAACCTATGCGACCGATCAATCAACTTACACCCAGGCTACTAAGAGAGTGCAGCCCGGGACCTAAGGTTAACATACCATCAATTTAGGTAGGATGTGATCAAAGTATACATGGACGAACTTCAGAAGGGTGAGTTTCTCCGGCTACCTAGTACCTACACCTATACCTTAGACCTTACATTAGAGATGATAGGAATCGAACCCATGCTAATGGTTTTGGAGACCATTGTACTACCATTATACTACATCTCTAGGATTGATCCAAGGTGGCATGATTAGGGATGAGTGGAATCGAACCACTGTCCGTAATACCCAAAATTACTGAAGGGTTGAAACCGGCGCGCAAGCCCTGCACCCTCGGGTATTTATTTTGCACCCAAACACCAACGTGCTTTGCTGCAACCATTCTCGCGCGAATCCTTTCAATAAACAGCGCCTTCCCAAACTACTCGAGAGGATGAGCAAGATGAAGTAGTTCTGGCCGAGGGCTATGTCTTGCCGCTGGGATCGGAGCTACAAGCACCTATGAGCCTGTCTGCCGAGGTTCAAAACAATGTTCAAGTCACTCAAGAGACCGTGGATATTGTCGATTGTTTCGGCGTGCAAGTGATGCGGCGACGCTCCGACGGCCGTGTTAATGCGAACGACATCCTGAAGGCTGCGGGAGGGCTCCCGGCGGAACAGCCGCATTCTGGCAGGGCAACATGATTGCTGGAAAGTCTGGCTTCGCTGCTTCAGAGTTCATAGATTATATTTTGGCTGGGTGTATATTTCAAGGAAACGCTGTCTTTTTTGTGTTGGAATTTGTGTTCGCGCATGGTCAAAAAAATAACTTTCCGCAAAGTAAAAACGAACACTCAGCAAAATGAACGTGCTCTCGAACGCAAACGCCGCCCACCCAAATGCGAACTCAAACATGAATTCGAACTGGTCTACCCCAAAAGAGATCCGCTTCAGTCGTGAGGCCCTCCTCGCCCGCTTCGACCACGAAGCCAGCCCGCCCTCTGACTTGGACCCCAACTTGTCCATCTTCTCAGTCGCTGCCCTGGAACCAATGGCGAATCTCCCACTGACGGAGCTTGAAAAGAAGGTGAGCTTCTCGCTCGACTTCTATTTTATTCTCTGTTCTTCGCTGTTTTTTTTTTTTTTTCGTTTTGCTTCCTATTTGATTTCATCGCTGTGTTCCTCTCCTTTTCCTCGTCCTGATGCTACTGATTGGTTGAAGCACTTGCACTCTTTGCCTGTATTCGCGGCCTTAAATTTCTCACCCTTTTCCTTCGATCCTCAATTCAGATACTCTCTCTTGGCTCTGTCAACAGTGAGACTGGACCGAGAAGAAACTACAGCGGTCGCAGCGTAGATGATAAAGGAGGATACCAACGCAACATTGTATCTTCCCGAGGAGGGCGAGGAGGCTCTGTTCGAAGTAAGCATTCACTCCTTCATCCCTGATTTTTGGAAGCTTGGTCCTTCGAGACTCGTTTTGGCGCAGCGTCAATGTTTGATGATAAACTCGGATTAAACCTTGGTACTAATCTGTATCCCTTTGTTATTTAGGAGCGTCCGATAGAAATCTTGGTACTGCACAGAATTTAAACGACTATCAACATCGCATTGAAACTTGTACTTAAAAAAGGACGCAAAAACGACGGCGATGCATCTCCAGATCGATCAACCTCTGATCTCAATGTCCATGACGAGTCCAGCGTACGTACCAACTTTGTGACACTGCCAGCGATATAATCTAACAGGCTTCTCATCCAGATTGTCTCAGACGAAAAGGGCATCCTGAGAAGTTACTTGGAGAAGAAAGGCTCCGGAGTCGACATTCTCGGATCTGGATCCTTTTCATCATCTCCCCTTCGTCAACCTTCGACCATGTCAATGGATGGCGGCAAAAGCGGTGAGATTCATTTTCTACCCCGGACTAACATTGTAGATCTCATGCTTGAAATTTGAATAGGAGTTTTGTCGGACATCTTTGGAGGCCTGTCCATGGCATCCGAAGATCCATACTCTGCGTTTGGAAACTCGTCCATTCTCACGGCTGAACCACATCAGTTTTCAGTTGGACAAAGAGGGACTGGAGTCAATTCGGGTCTTGGTGGTGGACTCATTGCTCCGCCTGGCATGGTTCCTGATGCCGCGCCCTCGAGTTGGTTTTATCGGGATCCCATGGGCAACACCCAAGGTGATAATTTTTGATTTTCTGCGAGTTGGAGACCTTGGCACTCTGAGCATCATCAAAAACACAGGCCCCTTTTCCACGGACCAAATGCAGGATTGGTACTCCAAAAGCTTCTTCTCCGAAGACCTTCCCATCAAAAGAGAGAAAGATCTCTTGTACGAACCACTTTCGAATCTTTTGAGTCGCTTTGGACGCGACCGTCCATTTGTTGATTCCGATTCCTTTGAATACAATACTCTCGTGCAGCAGGCAGAACAAAGCAGGTTCCGTTTGCAGTCAGCAGCGCCAGGAACTCCGGGATTGTCGCAAAAAGATTCTGCATTTGGAGTTGGAGTTGGAGCCGGATACAGCCCTTTTGCCAGTGTTGCTCCTCAACGCTACAATTCCACTCCCACCTCGTTTCTCGGAAATGACTACGTAGGAGGGGTAACTGGCGTTTCCAGGGGAGTCGGTGGAATTCGATTTGGAGATGTGGAGTCCTTGGTGGCGCCACAGAACTGGGCTGCTCAGGGTGGACTGGACAGTGGAATTAATGCGTCTTATACACCCATTCGAAGCGCCACGCTGGGATTCTCGTCATTTGGGGCACCGGACTTGGCGTATGGTCAGCCAACGAATTACGGTAACACGGTCCTGGATTCTCAACACGTTCAGCCCGCGTTTTCGCAATTCTCGGTCGCTCCTCAATTTGGATCACTTCAAAGAGGTGGATCAGATGTGGTTGCATCTCCTACCAGAAGCGTGGGTCCATCTGCATGGCATTCTATTCAACCAGTCGAGCCAACACCAACAGAAGAATTTGTTGAGATTCCTCAAGAAACTCAGTTTCAACCGGAGCTGAAACCCGAACCCGTGCAAGTTGCTATTCCCCGAATTCCAACTCCAGAACCCGCCAAATCCCCCATTGCTATTTCTCCAGCGAAATCAGTCTCTGCAAATGCGGCAGAGGTGGTTGAACCAGAGCCAGCTGTGGCCAAGCAACAAAAGGTCAAATCGAAAAAATCCCAACCCCTGAAAAAGGCTCCAGCCTCTCAAGCTGCTGCATCTGCCCTTTCCCCCGCGGAATCCCTCTCTGAGCCAGCTACAACGCCAGTCGAAGCGGCGCCTCTTCCTGTTTGGGGCTCTGGAGAAAACACACCAAAGCTCAGCTTGAAGGAAATTCAGGAACTTGAGCAACGCGAATTTGAGCACAAGGAGCGTGAGAGGGCACGCAAGGCTCACGTGAAGATGATGGCTGAGGCGCAAGCGCTTGCTGAGCAGGGAGCCAACAGTGCGATTGTTGCTGGACGTGGTACCGCGTGGACTGCTGGCCAGGCAGCAAAGAAGCCAACACTCGCGGATATCATGGCAGAAGAAGAAAGACAGAGAAAGGCTCAGGAAGTTGCTGCTGCGGCTGTGTCTGGAGCGTCTTCAGCTGGTGTTGTTGGAGGAGCAAAGCGTTATGCCGACTACATTGCGCCGAGCAGTGGTTACGTTCCACCTGCTACAGTTCGCACGGGTCTCCCCCCTGTTTCTGTCACTGCTGTTCCTAAAGCTGCAGTTGAGTATTTAGCTTGTCGCGCTCTTTAAATTAAGAGTTCTTATTCTCCTTTTAGCAGTCATCTGGTTGGAATGTTGTTGGAAAAGTTCAACCGAAACCCGCCCCCGCAGCTGTCACACCAGCTTCTGCCGTTACTGCAAAGGCCGCTGCCCCTCCAAAACCTTATTCTGAGCCTGCTGCAGCCGCTGTCAAGGCGCCTTCCTCTCGACCAGCAGATGGCGGTCCGTCGGCAGGTTTTTTGCAGTGGACGCGTCAGGCTTTGAAACCGCTCGAGCGTAGCACAACTGCTGGAGTAAAAGGTGAGTTTCGATATTCCTTAAGTGGTTGATGCACGCTGTGCTGACTATAATCCCACTAGTCGACGAATTTATCCAGATTCTTCTCATGATTCCCATGAACGAGCCAAGAACAGTGTCCATGATCTGTGATGACACACTTGGAGGCCTGACTGCAATCGATCCGTTGAAGTTTGCGGAAGAATTCATGCGCAGACGTCGCGCGGATGCATCCAATGATCCTGCCGCGTATGCGCCAAGCGTGGAAACTGCGGGATCCCGATCGAATGAAAGTGCTGCAAGTGGGTTCGTGGTTGTGCAAAAGAAGAAGGGGAAAAAGTAGATGAGGAGAGTTAGACGACTGATTGGTTTTTTTTTTTAATGAAGATAATAAAGCAAGGCTGGCGGATCTTCTGAAAAAAAAGACAGAGCTGCAAGTTTCCAGTTGTCATTTTATTCAACAAAGCCTCAAATCGCAGACGCCAGCAAAAACAAGAAGAACAGTAACGACGGAGAGTCTGAGTTGGATGAGTTCTTTTTTTCGTTTGTCCGGAGACGGAGCCCGATTCACAGCGAACGTGACGTTCTTGACTACCTTGTAAACAATAAGTCAGATGCGTCTGGAGTACAAATACCCAAGGGAGGGAAGGGCTTGCGCACCAACTTTGCCCAACACGTGCAATTCGCGGTAATTTCTGAACAAACAAACGGTACTTGTTAGTGAACAGAGAGAGGAGAGAGACAGGATATCTGAAGCAGTACCTGTCACATTTCGTACGTCCTGTCGACTTGCATACATCTGGTCAGAGAAAAGTGAGAGTGAAAGTGAGAAAGAGAATAATTCATCATAAACCTCAAGCAGTACCTGTTGCCTCTCAAATTGACATGCTTGTCTTGCATGCCCAATTTCATGTCAACTGTCAGCTGTGCTTGAACAGGATTATATGGTTGGGGTTGATTCTTTGGCTCAATTTACGTTGAGTGAGGTTGGAAGGTCTGTGATGAGGATGGGTGTTGGGCTGGTGCAGAGCTTGCATATTCACTGAGTTGTATTCAGTGATAGTTTATTGATAGTACTCTGCTGCTCCAGTGTCCTCTTTAAAAGCAGTTTTTTGCTGCTACGCAGCACGTTCCCGCACACGGTGCGGGAATGGGTGTTTGACACCTGTGGTGCATATGCCTGTCAGGGTGCTTGGCCCTTTTTGATATGCCATTGCGTACAGGATACCAACCTTTGCTTCTTGCCTAT